AACGAGGCGCCCTGCACTGCACCCCGTGTGGAGGCAACGGCTCCGGTCGCGGCAGCGCCTCCTCTCGAGCAGCCCAGCGGAACGACGGCCCTGCCGCTGGTCACCCGTCAGCCCGATGAGGGGCGGGTCTGCGCAGGTCTGGGACACGGGGAGGCTGCAGCGAATGCGTCCGAAGAGGAGGCCTGCTACAAGACATCTTTGGGGATCGTGGGGCGTGTGGGGCGCGCCTGCCGGCGATCGTGAGCCTCCCGCGGTGCCCCGTGGCGATGGTGAGCCGAACGCGTACAGCCACGGGGAGGCTGCAAGTGTGCATTGTCGTTTCCTGCACGGCGAGTATTTACGGTGAGCACTTGCGGTGGCATTTACAGTGTGCACCGACGGTGTGTGCATTTGAAATGTGCACTTGGGGTACGCGTTTACGGTTTGCACTTACGGTGCGAGTGCACTATGGGTTTACAATGTGCAATCGCGGTAAGCACTGAATGTGAGGTATCGACTTGCGCTTTCGTAACTTGTTTTCTCAAGGCGACGAGGGGTGCGTGTTCTGCTTATCGGTCCGCGCTTCGCGGCGCGTTTTGCGGGTGTTGTTGTCGTTCTGCCTTCGCACGGTGAATATTTATCCTGTGAGCAACGCTGCGGCGTCGCCTTGTGTTTTCCCAGCGCGCTGTCGCAGCATCATTTGGCGGCGAGTGTTCTCGTTGTGTAGTCGCTGCGGGAGGCTAGCGTTTCTTTCTCTCTTCTGGCAATAAATGATGTCGTTGCGGTGTCCCCATTTGTTTCTGTAACTATGGCGCGATGTTCACGCTGTGTACGTTCGACGTGTATGATCAGCGTGCGTTTACGGTGTGCGCTTACGGTGTGCATTTACGGTGTGTATGGCGTGTACTTACGGTGCGTAGTTACAGTGCGTATTGACAGTGAGCATTTAATGTTTGCACTTACGGTGTGTTATTTACGACGTACATTTACAGTGCGCACTTACGGTGCGTTTCTTTGTTACCATGTGTATTCACGCTGTGCATTTACGATGCGCACTCACCAGAAACATTGAAACTGAAGTAGCGCCTTGCGCTATCGCAGCGAAGTACAAGGGCGCGTGCTCTGCTTATGTGTCCGCGCTCCGCGGAGCGTTTTCCTGGTTCATTGCGTTTGGCTTTCACACGGCGAATATTTATCATGTGGGCACGCTGCGGCGTCGCCTGCGGTTTCCCAGCGCGTTGTCGCGGCACGATTTGGCGGCGCGTTTTCTCGTTACATGTTCGCCGTGCGAGGCTAGCTTTTCCGATGTTATTCCCAACCATCCTGTGGTGTTGGGTCCTCGTGTTGAAAAGACAGCGCCCCGCGTCTCCTTCCTTCCTTCCTCCCTTCCTTCCTCCCCCTCCTCCCTTCTCCGTCCTCCCTCCTCCCTCCTCCCCCTCCCCCTCCTTGCCTTTGCCCTCGGCACACCTCTCACACGTTTCGTAGCCCCATAGGGAGCTCCACCGAAGGCCCCAGTCTGGGTGCCCGCATGCGGTTCCCGCGCCCAGGGCAGCGTTTCGTAGCCCCATAGGGAGCTCCACCGTAGGCTCCAGTGGGGGTGCCCGCATGCGGTTCCCCCACCCAGGGCAGCGTTTCGTAGCCCCATAGGGAGCTCCACCGTAGGCTCCAGTGGGGGTGCCCGCATGCGGTTCCCCCACCCAGGGCAGCGTTTCGTAGCCCCATAGGGAGCTCCACCGAAGGCCCCAGTGGGGGTGCCCGCATGCGGTTCCCCCACCCAGGGCAGCGCTTCGTAGCCCCATAGGGAGTTCCACCGAAGGCCCCAGTGGGGGTTCCCGCATGCGGTTCCCCCACCCAGGGCAGCGTTTCGTAGCCCCATAGGGAGCTCCACCGAAGGCCCCAGTGGGGGTGCCCGCATGCAGTTCCCCTACCCAGAGGTAGCGCCACCGGAAACGATATTCATATTTGCGGTATTCACAACTGCATTTGGTTGGGTCCTTCGCCAGGCTAATGTTAGAGATTGGTTCGGTATGGTTGCTTACTCTTTGTTTCTGCACGATGTATTACGGTGCGCTGCTCGCGGTGTGTACTTTCGGCGTGAATGTTCGGCGTGTCTGTACGGTGCGTCTTTAAGGTGTCCACTTACGGTGTCCCTGTGCAGTACGCATGTCGGCACGTATTTACCGTAACTGTGCACGGTGAGAGCCTACGGTGTGTATTTACGACGTACGTTTACAGTGTGTACATTGAATCTGAGACGCGCTTTCGCAACACATTCTCGCGATGCGATTCGGGGACGCGCGTTGGCTCCGGCGTCGCCTTGCGTTTGCCCAGCTGTCGCGGCGTGATTCGGCAGCGCATTTTCCTGTTACGGCTAGCGTCACAAACACAGCGTGCGACATCGATCTTCAGAAAGCACGCTGTCCCCGTGAGGCGATCCTCCGCGAGAGCGCACTCTGCGCACGCTACTTCCCTCTGCGAGGGCATCGTCAGTGCAAGCTACCCCCCTGCCAGAAATTCCCTGTGGGAAAAAACACTGGGGGAAAAAACACACAGTGGGAAAAAACACAGTTGTGCTTTTTCCCACCCACGCACTGTGTTTTTTTTCCCACAGTTGTTTTTTTCCCACAGACTGTTTTTTTTCCCACAGACTGTGTTTTTTTCCCACAGTGCTTTTTCCCACAGACGCTGTCCCCAGTGTGGGGGATGGCGCGTAAGAAGGGGCCCGGCGGCGCCACGTCGCACGCCATCTTTGCAACGCCAACCGCACGCCTTCGCCGCGTGAGGCGCGCTTTCCCTTTTTCATGTCAGCAGTGATTTGTTTCGGTGTGCATTTACGGCGTACAGGACAGTTTGTAATACATAGGATTTTGTAAAAATATGACTTTGAATACATGATAAAGTTAGGAATGAATTTACGCATGAACTCATCGTTGTTTTTAATCCTAAATCCCTGCATGTTTTATACATTATCCGCACGCGGAGCATGCATTAAAAACGACACTGTATGTTTACGGCGCGCATTTGTTGCGTGGGGGGTTGGGGGGAAGGCACCACACGCGCGCGAGACCATACTCTCGTTGCGTGCTCACGGTGTGCATGTACTGCGCATCTTGACGGTGAGCACTCACGGTGTGCAGTCACAGCGCGGGGCGAGGACGCTATTCACGCGCGGCCGAGAGGTCGTTCAATTCACCCGGGGGCTACACACAATGCTTTACGGAGCATATTAGCACGGCAAGGCGGGCAGGGCTGGGCCGCGCAATTCACGCAAGGGTGGAGTTTTCACCGTGTATACACACTATCTGCGCTGCATCTATACGATATGCATAAACATACTTCTAGATCTGTCTGCGCTGAATAACTGCGCTGTGTTTCTGTGAACACACTCGCTGTGTACACACATGCTGTGTACACGCACGCTCTAAATACAAACACACACACACACACACACCCGCTGTGTCCACACATGCAGTGTACACACACGCTCTATACACGCACGCTGTGTATTCACACGCTGGGTACACACACACACACACACACTGTGCGCAAGTACACACACACACACTGTACGCACAAACGCTGTACACACATGCTGCCTACGACAATGTGTATACACACACGCTGTGAATTTGGGGTGCGTGCTCATGGTGCGCATTGACGGTGCGTACTCGCTGTGGGCTTTGGCGGTGCGTATTTACGATGAGTAGTTGCGGTCAGCATGTACGATGAGTATTCGCGGTGAGAACTCACTACGTACTGACCACCTCGTACATGCTGTATACACACACTATGTGCACACACCCACACACGCTGTGTACACGCATGCTGTGTACACACACGCCTTATACACGCAGGCTGTGTACACACAGACTGTATGCACACGCGCTGTATACACACACACGCAATGTAAACACACACGCTGTATACACACACACACACACGTTTGTATACACGCACGTGAGTATGTACGGTGTGTATGTAAGCTGTGTATGTTCGGTGCGAACGTACGGTGCGTATTCATGGTGCTTATGTACGGTGCTTACGCTGTGAAAATACACACGCTGTGTACACACACGCTGTGTACACACACACACACGCTGTACTCTATGAACAGACGCAGTGTACACACGTGCCGTACACATACAACATAAACATACACACTCTCCATACACGCACGCTGTGTACACACACGCTCTATACACGCACGCAATATACACACGCGCTGTGTGCACGCACGCTGTGTGTACACACACACGCTGCAGATTACACGTTGTATGCACACACGCTGTACTTACGGTGTGCAGTTACGGTGTGTGCTTACAGCGCGTATACGGTGAGCATGTACAGTGAGCACTTGCGGTGAATTTACATTGAGTGATGTACACTTCGTACTTGCAAAACTGTACAACTGTACTACTGTAATAATAGTGACAGCCTTTCTGCTGAGTTGGTGTACCGTGCCCCATGGCTTCTGTCGGTTCCGTGGCCATCGGGGTGTAAGAAAATTCCACAGGCCACCCGCTGGCAAGCTGTATTTTCTCTATGCGCCTACTGTAGATGAGAGGATGCACAACCCTGCGGCCCTGCCACGGGGGAGTGGCGAAACTAGGGCTCGACCGCCATTTGCGGCGAAGCACACCGAGATCGAGAGGGGATCGCCATGCGTCGTGCGCATTGTAGGAAGGCTTCGGGGAAATGTGCGCGGCACCGAGGCGGCAGCAGGATCTCGAAAAGAAGCCGCCCTCACTCCATGCAGGCTGATCGCCCTCATTCCATGCAGGCTGATAGATATGTCAAGCTTTTTGAGAGAATCGGTCACAGCGCCCTCAGGCACGAGATGCAGAGTACTTGGGTCCCTCCGGATTCTGTGTCGAACAATGAGATTACCCTGTCAGTTTGCCGGGGCCTCAGACCCCCGCTGACGGATCTGTTGGGGACGAGGGGACCAAGAAGGGGCCCTCGAACTGGCGTCCGGAGCCTCTGCATCCGAGACCGCTAGCGTGCCCCCAAGATGCTCCGAAGAAGCCCCGAGAAATCCCGAAATGCCCCCAGGAGGCACCCCAGGATGCCCTCAGGAGGCCCCCTAAGTGCCCCCCAAGAGGCCCCAAATATGCCTTCAAGAGACCCCCAGTGGCATCCAAGAGGCCTCTTGCGCACGGCTTCGGTTTGGGACGAAGGCAACTAGATCTGCCGCCCCCTGTCGCTTGCAAAGAGGGGGTGCATTACGCTCTCGACCGATCCAGTCAGCCAGCTGGACGGCACCACAGAAACTTTCATGTCTAGAAAATGAGGCTGAAAGACGCCTAAGATGATCCCCAAGATGGCTGGCCCTCAAGAGTGTCCAAGACGCCTCCCAGACAGCCAAAATAGCATCCAAATCGGCTCAAGATCATTCCAAAATGCCCGCCAAACGGCCTAAGAGGGTCCCAAGACGCCCTAGGAGGGCTCCAAGATAACCTACAGGATGTCGAAAGCATTGATTCTCCGGTGGGAAATCAATATTTGTAGCGTTCTCGTATTCTCGGGCTTCCAACATCCGAGGACGGTCCCAGAGGCCTCCAGGATAGCTCCAAGACGTCCCCGAAGCCCCCTAGCCCCAAGAAGGACCAAGAGGCTGGCCCTAAGACGGCCCAAGAGGCTCCCAAGACGACCCCAAGACGGCCCCAAGACGGTCCCACAAGCCTCAGCCCTAAAGCGCCAAAAGAGGGCCCCACGACGGCCCAGAGGGGCCCCCAAGAATGCCTCCGAGAGCCAAGAGGCCCCTTCGAGTACCCCAGAGGCCCCCAAAGAGGCCCTACGAGAGGCACGAGGCCACCAAGAGACCCCAAGAGGCCCTCAAGAGGCCTCCAGGAGGCTCCCAGGAGGCCCTCAAAAGGCATCCTTATCCTGATCCTCCGCCACCTCTCTCATCCCTCTCTTCCTCCTCCTCCTCCTCCTCCTCCTCCTCCTACCTCATCATCATCATCATCATCATCATCATCATCATCATCATCATCATCATCATCATCATCATCATCATCATCATCATCATCATCATCATCATCATCATCATCATCATCATCATCCCCTTTTCTCCGACAAGTGTTCCCCCAAGGGTTTGCACAACGACTGGGGGGGAACTCGTAGCCCACTAGCATTGCAAGACTTCGGCCCAACGTTCGGCCACATAGACGTTTCCCAAAGGCGTGGGGCGGCGGTGATCCGCCGTGGGCGTATTCGATAACATGCCAGAAACTCACTGGCAAGGGCACGACTTCGAGGGTCCCTGGACCTCGCTGGCGGACCATAACTCGGGGCCCAGGCGGCCGTTCGGGAAACTCCAGCATTCCCAGAACGCCAAGGACGAGGCGCAGCTGATGGAAAAACACCGCTGGGCCCCGAAAACCTCAGAAAACTCCTCGGAAGCCACTTCCGTCCCCATTTCAGACCGAACCCTTGTCCGGTCCGCCCCTCCTCCCCCCTCCTCTCTCGCCCCCTCTCCTCCCGCCCCCATCCCCCCCACCCTCCCCCTTTCCTCCCCCCCCTCGCCTCCCCATCCCTCCCCTCCTCTCCTCCCCTTCCATCCCCACCCCTCCCCGAAACATGCTTCCGGGTCGACACTAGGAGGACCGGTGGAGGCCGGCGCAAGCGCTGGGCAGCCGTCTCAGTCTTCGCGCACACCCGAGGCACACGCTGGCCCGGCGCGACGCCAGGGCGAGGACCGAGCGCGGAAGCGAGGGCGGGCCCAAGAAATTGTGGCACCTCCCCAAAAGGGGCGACGTTGTTCGTCCCCGATCATGCTCGGCGACCCCGGGGCACCGTGAGGACGGCCCTCTGCAACCAGACTGGAGCGAAACCGCCGCGGTTCGAAAAAAAAACTATCCCTCGGAGGTCTGGGACGCCGTCTTCCTCCCAGGGCGGGGGGGGCCTCGTCATCATCGCGTTGTCTCGCGGGCTCTACTCTGCAGACGATGCCAGCAGCTTCCCTGGCGCGCGTAGGCGGCGACGACGACGTCAGAGACGGCGGGAGCAGTCGTGGTCGTCGGCAACGGCGACAGGACGACGAGGGCCACTGCGAAGGCGACGACGTCGACAAGGGAATGAGTCAGGGGAGAATGGGGAACGTGTGAAATCACGATCCAAGATCAGGTGGAGCCGCGTCCAGCCTTTCCTATTGTAGAGGAGGACTCTGGGGGAGGAGTGAATGGCGATCTGATTCGTTCTCGGATCGTTGCTTCATGACTTCACCCCTCTTGCAAGAGAAGGGAAGGGTCCAGACGAGACAGAGGCCATACCCACTGTCAGGGCAAGCAGCTCACTGACGGCACGCACAACAGGAGCAGGCCATCCTCAACTCAAAGCCGTCCACGGCGGCAGCGCAACCGGAAGCCGACCGAGGCCGACAGCGAAGCCGAAACCGACCGAAACCTAGTCTACCAGAAGCGGCCGGGAAGGAAGCAGCGCCACGGGAACGACGCCACAGCTGGCCGAACCGAACCGACTGAATGCAGCTGGAGCGCCCCTGGGAACGGATGGAGTGTACCTTGATAGGAGCTGCTTGGGGATGTGGGACATACCAAGGAACTGTATAGGGATCACATGAGACCGAGTAGGGATGGCGTCACGGTGCCATATTGCGATCATATTATCATCACGCTGTGGCGACAGTGGGGTCCTGGAGTCTGGGGTCACGGGATCAAAATTGTACTTGCTCGATGGTGGCACTGTGATAACGGGTGGTACTCGGAGATCCCATTGATACCTTTTTGGGGCTCAAGGGTTTCATTTTGGCGTCGTGGGTCACATTCGTGATATGGGGGCACATTGGGGTGATGGGGCCATTGGGATTCATGGGCCATGGGATGAGGTTTGGGTCAGTTATGGGTCATGATGGGAATATTTGATGAACCTGCATGCGTCATGGATCATGCCGTGGTCATGGGTCATTCGGAGGTCATGTTGGGAGGAAGTGGCAGGAGGCAAGAGGTATGTAAGAACCATACAGAATACACAGGAATCCCAAGAAATAGGAGGCAGGGAGGCTGGAATCCTGACGAATCCTAAGGAACCTTCGGGAGTCTGCGGAATCCCTAGGAGTCTGGAAGAGTTCTTGGGCACAGTGAAAATTTGGCATCCGAGAAACTCTGGGAGAGAATCCCCGGGAATCCTGAGGAATCCCTGGGGATCCTGAAGAAACCTGTGGAATCCTTTAGATTCTCGAGAATCCATCTGGGTACAGAGGAGTCCTCTGGCACCCTGCGAAACTTTCAAAACCCCTCAGGACTCCTCAGGAGTCCTCAAAATCCTTAGGGAATCCTTAGGATCCCCCAAGATTTTTCAGGACCTCTCCGGATGCCTTAAGAAGATGCTATAGCACTCCCGAAGAAACATCAGCACCCCTCAGGATGCCTCCGCATCCCTAAGGATCCCCCAGGGTTCATCAGAAGCCATGGCGAGGCATTCGGATCCCGTAGGATGCCTCAGCATTCCCCAGGAGCTGCATGGGTAGACGAGCGCGTTCCACGACTCGCAAAGTAACTACTTGCAAATGGTCTGGATCCGCCACAAGGGATCTACGATAATTTTCATCGATTCAATCACATGTTTTCCGGACGTTTGCGAGTAGGCACTTTGCGAGTAATGGAACGCGCTCGGTGGATGGGCATAGGAATGTACAGAAGCCACTCGGGGGCGTACTGGAGGAGGAGGAGGAGGAGGAGGAGGATGAGGAGGAGGAGGAGCGGATAAGGAGGAGGAGGAGGAGGCGGATGAAGAGGAGAGGAGGAGGAGGAGGAGGAGGAGGAGGAGGAGGAGGGCAGAGGCACGAGACGTTCCATGGCAAGGGCGCCGGGAGCGCCACCACCTCCTCCAGCCCCGTGGGGCGCCTGCGCCTCCGACCCGGTGCGGACACCTTCTTCGGCCCCGCGGAGCAAGCGCGCGGCTGCTGGAGCGCGGCTTCCCCCTCCACGGGAAAAACTTGGGCTCTGGGATAGAAGAAGATCGCGACGTCGGCAGCAGCCACAGTCACCATACTCTAGATGGGCGGAAGAAGAGGATGGAGGCGAGACGCCCGAACTCTGGAGCAAAATCACAAACAAAAAATACGTCCCGCACGGAATAAGACGATGAGAAGAAACGGCTCGCGTGGCCCGCGGTGATATGCGGGAGACGCTTGAGGCCCGTGCCCAGCGCATGGAAAAGTCTGGCTTAGCCTTAGCTCGCCGCAGTAGACTGCCTTCACCGAAGACTTAAATTTGAGGACCATCACCAGATAGGGCCTAGTCTCGCTGCGCCATTTCGCCCTTGCATGTGATGAACGGCATGTTGCACATGATAAACGAAGTGAGTGACCCACCCAGAAGTTGCCAGGTATCGGAACGAACGTGACCATGCCCTCGCCGAAGTACGCGCCCACGCGAGCACCTAGACTATATTCGGGCCGACGCCACCCAGTCCCCGGGTCATTGCGGCATCAGCTAAACTCAGGCCCAGCGATTCGACGACCCCGCCCAACCCGAGCGTTGCCTCCCCGAGGCGGCTTCACCTTGCTGCGTGCTGCCTCGCAATGTTCAGCAAAACACGTGGGCAGCAACCTGCTCTCTGAAAGAAGGGTACGTTTCGCGTTGCGCACAACCCGTCTGACGGCCGTGGCTGCGAATCGGCAGTCACAACACACGGGTTACCAATGCCAGACTTTCGAAGAAGAAAAGACGCCATAAACATAGACAGTTGGCGCTCCCCGCGGATTTCTTGGATCTGCGCTGGACCCCCCTCCTTGGCGCGCGGCGCTGGAAGCGCCGCCAGGGGGGGCCCAGGCGCGGATCCAAGAAATCCGCGCGGAACGCCAAAAGTTTCTGTTTGTGCCGTATTTTCTGCCTCGAGGAGCTCCAACGTACCGAGCACAACCGTGCAGAGCAGTCTGCCCGTACACCGTGAGAGCGTTGCGGGCCCCGTCCCCTGAGCGGGTAAGATTGATCTGTGTATATATATATATATATATATATAGAGAGACAGATGCGTGTGTACATATATGTGCTTATAAATACACACATACATGTGTACATATATATATATATATGTATATGTGTACATATATATATATATATGTACATGTATGTAAATGTATATACATACATGTCTCCAAACCCAGTCCGTATTGGATGTTCTTGGAAGGGGTGCCACAAGGCCAAGGCGTACTGGATATGGATTGAAATCGAGCCTCCAGGGGGCAGATCTATCCGCATACAGTGGACCTCGAGCTCCTGCGGAAGGGCATCCGAAACGCCCTACTGCAGTGGACATGGAACGAAGCATTGCCGGCACCCTGGCTCGAGAGGCCAGCCCCGAAGGGGATGGTGCGAGGCGGGGATTCATCCATATCCGCCGCCTGGGAACCGACGTCCTGGTGCCCCAACGGGCGGTTGATATCGATATGTCGGCCCCCAGGGGCCCAAAGATGTCCACATCCACCGCCTGCCGAGGCTCCGAAAGCTGACCCTCCAGGAGGTGGTCATGCCTCGGAGATGGGCTCTGGTCGACGCGGCGGCCTGGCGAGGGCCCGCAGCCGCGGCCGCCCATAGCGGCGCCAGGGGGGGCGAAGCGCCCGGGGGGGGCGCCCGCCCACGGCCTCCGGGTGGCCGTTTTTTGGCTGTTCCCGGGTAGCGATCGTTACCCGGGGGGGAAGGGTTTGGTGGGCTTGTTTTCCACCACCACCACCATAAGTAAGTAGGAGGGGGAGGGGCTCCTCCTCCTCCCTCCTCCTCCTCCTCCTCCTCCTCCTCCTCCTCCTCCTCCTCCTCCTCCTCCTCCTCCTCCTCCTCCTCCTCCTCCTCCTCCTCCTCTCTCCTCCTCCTCCTCCTCCTCCTCCTCCTCCTCCTCTTCCCCTCCTCATCCTCGTCCCCCTCCTCCCTCCTCCTCCTCCTCCTCCTCCTCCTCCTCCTCCTCCTCCTCCTCCTCCTCCTCCTCCTCCTCCTCCTCCTTCCCCCCTCCAACTTATGGTGGTGGTGGTGGATAACAGGCCCATCAAGGTTGGGGGGGGTCGGGCGAGAAGGTAGCGGTAACGGCGGCCGCGGCATGCACCCGCCAGGGTGCATGCCGCGCCACCGGCGCAGCAATCGCCTGTGTGCGCCCCAGCATGCGGGGGGGGGGGTCCAGGCCACCCCACCCCGTGTACGATCCTTCGCGTTACCCGGGGGAGGAGAGGAAGGGGGGGGGGGTCGGCCCGGGTAACGAGCGTTACCCTGGGGAGGGGAAAAACGCTCAGCGGCTTGCTCCAGAAGCGGCCCGCCCCGTTGCCAGGGGCGGCCCAGTACTCGATGCGCAACGCGCATTCGTCATGATAGCTCCCCCCTTCATGGAGAATTCGTGCCGAGCATCGTGGGGCCCGATATTCCGTCACCCAGATCTCTCGCCCGAAAATGCTTTCCGAGCACATCTCACGAGGTACTTTGCCATCTTGAGCTCATGCTTGGGGGGCCTCCTTTGGGCCATCTTTGCGCCATATTGGCGCCCTCTTGGCCATCCTGGGGCTGGCTCTCTTGGACCGTCCGAAGGCCTCATGAAGCGTCCCTGAAAATGAATTGGCGCCTGCTCGGGACCCGTGTGGCACCTCTGCACGGGCCTTCTCGAAGCCCTCCTGGGGCCGCCAGGAAGCCCTTCAGAGGCGATGTCGAGAGGAGGCATCGAGCGGGAGCGTCGGTGTTGTAAGGGGGGCCGTTGGCGGCGACAAGGCGCGAGCGCCGCGATATCAAGCGGGAGCGCTGATCATGCTGGAGGGGGGGCGATTTTCGGCGGCGGGCAGGAGCGCCAATCTGGAGCAAAACGCGAGGACCTATCCAGCGGGAGCGTCGTCGTTGTCGAGGGGCCGCCTTGTGGACCAAAGGCGGGAACGGCACTTCGGACTCAGAGGCGAGGATGCCACCCCTGAGCAAAAAGCGGGGAAATATTCGAGCAGGAACGCTGATTTTGTTGGAGGGCCGGTTGTCGGCGGCGAGCCAGGAGACAGCCCTGTCAAGCGGGAGCGTTGTTGTTGTTGGGATGCGGTGTGGACGCCCCCCAGAAACGCTTGAGCGCGAGCCTCAATTTCAAAGGTGAGACAGCTGGCGCCGAGGCGAGAACGCCAGGGCGCATTGAGGGAGTGCGACAGCAACATGTGTTTCGCCTTTCAGATCCAACAACAAGAACAAGATTTCCAAGACTGCGCGCTCTTTCCTGCTCGCGCGTCAATCAACATGTATATCCCCAACCCTCGATACCCACCCTCTTCGCCTGCGATCGTACACCCGGGGGGGGGGATTCCTTCCCTGGCACGCGTAGATGGCGAAGGCCCTAAGCGGGAAGATGAGGGAGAAAGGAACACGTAAAAAGAAGTGAGGGAGGGCAGAGGGGAGGAGCAAGAGGACGGGGCTACGAAGGGCGCGCGCGAGCAGGGGCCACGAAGGGCTTAGTTGGGGCCACGAAAAGCAGCGAGCACGGCCACTGAGGGCAGCAGCGGGGCCACGAAGGGCAGCGAGGGGGGCACCAAAGGCGACAGCGGGGCCACGAGGGGCAGCAATCGAGCCACGAAGGGCGCGAGCGAGCGGGGGCAACGAAGGGCATGCATTCGGCCACGACGGGCAGCGAGGGGGCCGCTACGGGCTGCAACGAGGCAAAAAAGAGCAGCGAAGGGGCCACGAAGGGCACCGAGGGGGCCACGAAGGGCGACCGCGGGGCCACGAAGGGCATCGAGGAGGCTGAAACAGCGGGCCACCAAGGGCATCGAGGGAACTACGAGGGCAGCGACATGGCCGCGCAAGGCGAATACGGAGCCACGATGAAGGCAGCGAGGGGCATCGAAGGCGAAAAGAAGGCAGCGAGGAGGCTGCGGGGCGGGCTACCGGACCCCGACGGGCGGGTCGGGCGGGTGGGTCGCGAAGGACTAAGTTGCGCGTGAGTCGCCAGGAAGTCTCAGGCGAGGGCGCGAGTCTTGAGTAACTTGTGAGGAAGTCCTGGACGAGAGCGTGACTGCTGAGCGTCGAGGGCGCGGCGCCTGGATAAATTGCGAGGAAGTCCCACGCGAGAGCGCTGCTCTCGCATTATTCGCAAGGAGGTCTCGAGCGGTAGCGGGCTTCCTCAGAAAATTGCGAGGAACTATAAGTTATAAGGCGGAAGCCGTTCTGTTGCAGTTCGGGGGCCAGGGGCACAGTTTGAGCCTCGAGGCTTTCCCTGATGGGGGAAACAACAGGGTGCAAGCCCCGAGAGGAGCACGTCCACTGAAAAGCCACAAAGGGCACCAGGGGGTGGGACCAACCGTAAGTTCTCAGAAACGAGAAGCCACGTGCACTTCCGAACGAGCGCGACACAAAACACGAATCCATCACCCCCCCATTCCGGATCCTGAGATCCGACGGCGCGAAAAAACTGAAACATCGCGAACACTCACGACTGGAGCCCTGGACCCCATCACTCTGCGTCAGTTGGGCGACGATCCGATACTGGTCTTACGCGCGATGGCACTGCGACCTCACGCGGCGGCTTACGCGGGCCCCCAGCGCGGCACTCTGCACTGGAGACGGGGGCGCTCACGCGCGACCTTACGCGGGCAGCTCACGCGCCAATGCTCGGGTCGGGCGAAAGGGGGGGATAGCAACGGGAGGGGTTGAGAATCAGCTCGCGTGGCTGATTTTCCCGGCGCCTCCTGGCGCCGGAGGCGGCTATGTATCGAGGAATGGGCCCCTCGGTGAGGCCGAAACCAGCTGCATGCAGCAAATTTCGTAACCCCCCCTTTCCCAATGCCCCCCTTTCGTCCGGCCCGAAATGCCGGCGCAGACGACCCCGATACCCTGCGTCGCTCGTCTGTCGCGCCGCATCAATCTGCGAGGGCCCCAGGGGCCCGCAGGCGGGCGCGCCAACGCCCGGGGTGCGAGCACGAAAAGCTTGCAGCGCCCGCATCCCCCGGGGGCGGGCGGCGGCGCCGATCGGCCTCGCTTCCCGCGCCCTGGCGGCGAGCCAGCCGGTCTCGCCGAGCTCCTCGACCTCGCCGTCGTCTCGCCTGTCTGGCAGGGAGTGCTCCACCGCGGCCTGCCCGCGCCCCACAGGACGGCGCGGCCGCGGGCACGGAGCAGCCCTAGGGGACGACGACGACGACGACGACGACGCCGACGAGGATGACGCCGACGACGACGCCAGTGACAACGACAATGACAACGACAATGACGATGGCGACAGCCCCACGGGGCGCCCCAGGAGCAGCCCTGCCCCGGCACGGAGCAGAGGCCCCGATCTCCGACGACCCCTCGCCATCGCTCGGACGCCCCTCCCCCGTGCATCTGTCGATGTCGTCCGCGTCTTATGGCTGGCGAGAGGATCCAGGACGCTCCTCGATGGCCCCCGCCGAGGAAAGGCACACGTCCGAGCGATGCCAAGACCCAGTTTTGCTCGGCCTGCGCATCTTCCTCCAGTTCTGCGCCCGGGCGCCGGCGTCGTGCACCGGGGCCATCGGGGACGGATCGGGGGCCAAGAGCTGCCCCCCGGAGAGGCGGTGGGAACCTCTGGGGCCGCGCCTTCCAAAGATCATACCCGCGGGAGTCGGGGCCCGGAACGGAGGAAGGCAGAACGGCTCCTCTGGACCACGGGGCCGTCTCCCCCAGGAGCAGCTCTTCCCTCTGAGCCGTGACTGCTGAGAGCCCCATAGGGCCCGAGGAGGGCCCCAGGAGCCCGAGGGCGGCAACAGCACCTCAGGACCACTTTCTGGAGAAGGAGGAGGAGGAGGAGGAGGAGGAGGAGGAGGAGGAGGAGGAGGAGGGGGAGGAGGAGGAGGAGGAGGAGGAGGAGGAGGAGGAGGAGGAGGAGGAGGAGGAGAAGGGGTCGGAGGACGGCACCGCATCGACGACGCATCGCCGATGCCTCGGCGATGCCTCCGCGACGCATCGGCGAGGCATCGGCGCCATCGGCGTGGAGAGACTCGCGCTCCACATCGAGCCGCATCGGCAGTGCGTCGGCGATGCGGCGCCAGCCTCCGACCCCATCTGCTCTGGCCCCCTCCGGGAGGCCTGGACTCCCGCGGCGCCGGTCCTGAGCAGGAGAGCGGCTCGCTGGCTTGGGGCCGCTGGAGCGCGGACTTCATTCTGTAAACGCTGTAAACGCGTTCGCAGCTGCGCCCTCGCGGTCGTCGAGCAGGGAACCGACTACAGAACTGATGTACCCCTGCATTCATTTGCCCCGTCGAATCTACGACGCATGCGCAGAGGTTTCGCGAATCTGCTGGGAAGTATTCCAAGTGTTTTCCCGCAGGTTCGACGAGACCTGTAGTTTTGGGGTCAATCAACTCTGTAGCCGATCCCCTACTCGAGGTCTGGATTCTGGGGCGCGATCCCTGCGAGGCCTCCGCGAAAAAAACGCCCCGTGTCCGCGAGGCCGCGGCCCAGGGGCCCGGCCACCGAGGCCGCGGGTATACGGAAACGCGTCGGCAGGAAGAAGTAGGTGAAAACACGAGGTAGGAAGGCGTTGAGGTAATTAGATTGGGCTTCCGCCCGCCCCCTGAAGAGGAAGGACGAGTGATTCACCAAACAAGGACCGCTGACCTGTTGGGAGGGGGCCAAAGTTAGGAGGGCCGGCACCGTCAGGGATGGGGCCTCCTGTCTGCAGATCTACCGAACCAGACCGCCCAGAGTCCTGACCCCTCACGCAGAGACGGGGACCTCAGTGAGGCCCCGTCTTCACTGTGCCATCCGGAGTCGGGGCTCTCTCATCCTCGACGAAGAGAAACAGGAACAACCACTCGACCCTTGAAGCAGGAAGGCGGCGAAAGTAGCCTAGGACCCACGTTCAACAAAAATACCCACGTTCAACCACCGACGGGTCGACGGGAGGAGGAGGAGGAGGAGGAGGAGGAGGAGGAGGAGGAGGAGGAGGAGGAGGAGGAGGCCCCCCCCACTCGTTCCTCCTCCTCCTCCTCCTTCTCCTCCTCATCCTCCTCCTCCCCGTTCGACGACCGCCCGGTCCGCTCTCTTCGCCCACGAGCCCCGTGCGGGCGACCCCCGGGGGCAGCGCGGCTGGCGGCAGCACGCGCCGAGGAGTGGACGGGCCGCCGCAGCGGAGGCAGGCGAGGGGGCCGGTCTGCCACGGCAGCATCGGCGCCCGCCGTCGACCCAACCCCAACCCAACCTGAAGACCCCAATTTCGGGTAGGGGGGGGTACGGGTTCCATATGTGATTTTTCAATGTTCCCCGACCCCTCCCCAACTGGAAATGGAGGGCAAATTGAGGCCTTCGGGTTGGGTTGGGGTGGTTTGGTGGGTGGTGACACTCAGCGTAAGCCGCCTCAAGCTCCCAGGCAGCCAGCGCCCCGAAAAAAATCGAGCCAGCAGGGTTTCATCGTCTTCGGCCGCTCGGAGCCCGCACTGGGCCTCAGGGCCAACCAGAAAGGCAGCGGCTCGGGAGGAGAAGCCAATCCCGGGGAAGTGGCCGGGAGGTCGGGAGCCCGTGCGCGTCTCGAAGAAAAGGCCGAGACGCCGGACGTCTGGGTTTTTCAAACCTCGGCGGGCGCGGAAGCGCCGCCGCGGTGCCTCTCCGCCGGGAGCACGGAGCAGAAGGTGCGCTGGCCAGCTCGATCCCTGGATTTGAAATATGGGATACTCCAGATTTCGTTATAAAGGGAGGGGGGTCTCATTTCGGGGACGGTCTCTTCCAGGCTATCTTGGAGGGCCTGGGGGAGGTCTGGGGACGATGTTTTGGAGGGTTCTCCCACGGGGGGGGGGGTCTGAAGTGGCTTGTCTTGGAGGGTCCAGACCCCCTCCCTTTTATTACGAAATCTGGAGTACCCTGTGAGGGGGGGGGAGGCCCGGATCCTGAGCATGTTCCTAGGGTGAAGGGCTCAGGGTGAAATCCGTATGGGCTTCTGCACCTCGAAAATCAATCCGTCTTGTGGCTCACCCTTTGCAGATTGAAACTTCGAAAATCCGTCGAAACGGTGTTTCATATTGCACCCTGTGCCCCCCACCCAAAGAAAATGCTCGCCGACCCCACAGACAGTCCGAGCACTTCTCTGGCGTGCCGCGTGACTTTCGGGGGTCGCGGCGCCACTTTTCCCCGGCGGCCTCGGGAGTGTACCTGGGACGCGCATGGCCGACATGCGTTACGATGGCGCCCAAGAGGTCTTCAGAAGGCCCCCCGAGAGGCCCCAAGAGGCCGCCAGCACGCCCCCGAGAGGCAACCAAGAGGCCTCTGACCCACAACCCAGGCGCGGTGGATGGATGAGCCGAAGGCCACCAAATCCGCCGCCCCATTGTTGCTTGCAAGAGTGGTTCTGGCGTGCCGAATGTTAACCGTTCGAGCCCTTCCGGGTTTCTAGTGGTGCCTCGCCGATCCCGCCAGCCGTGCCGAAGAGAGGATCTCCAATGACCTTACCTCCCCGTATGGTCCCAAGAGGCCTCAAATAAGGTCAAGATGGCCTCCAAGATGGCCCAAGGCGGACCAAGCTTGCTCCAAGACGGCCCAATGTGGCCCCAAGGCGGCCAAAGAAAACCCAAAGACGCCCCAAGAGGGCTCCAAGGGTCCCTCTAAGAGAGCCTGGAGACGCCAAAACAATTGATTTGCATACGATGTACACATTACCAGGCTAACGACACCCGAAACGGCCCCAGAGGTCCAAAATTTGGTGACACCAAAACTCTCCGCAACCTCTTCATAACGGCAGTGGGCCGGCTTGAACGCGACCCGGTAACGGAACGCTCCCCAGACGAATGGCGAATGCCGAACGTCGTATGTACACTTTCGTACAGTCAAAACGTGTATTAAGGACGGGTGATGAGGACGCAAGACCCATGGAGGCCGAAGTTGGGTTTTTTAGGGCGGCGGGCGACCAGTGATAATGGCAAGGACGAGCCTCAGAGGCGAGGACACAAGGGTACCCTAGATGAAGGTGCGCGTTCTTACTATGCGCGTTGACTGTAACAGCCAGTGATGAGCAACTCGTTTGTTCATCCACGCGCCACGGAGCGGAAGCCAACAAACAGTATCCGAGAGCCCCCAATAGAGGCCCAAGATAGCGCAAGCAACCGCCAACAGGGCGCCAACACGAACCGAGATGGCCAGAACAACTGTGCGGACAAATCTTGCAGTCCGACAGCGAAGGGGGGAAAGAGAAGGGGAGGGAGGGCAGGGGTGGCAAGGGCTACGTTCTTCCCCATCAAATGTTCATCCTGCCCCTTCAATGTTCCCTCCGTTTCCTCCTCCTCCTCCTCATCCTCCTCATCATCATCAGCATCAGCATCATGATCATGATCATGATCATGATCATCATCATCATCATCATCATCATCATCAGCATCATCATCATCATCATTATCACCATCATCATCATCATCATCATCATCATCATCATCATCATCATCATCATCATCATCCCCCTCCTCCACCTCCATTGTTTCTCCTCTCTCCTCCTCCTCCTCCTCCTCCTCCTCCTCCTCCTCCTCCTCGTCGTCCTCGTCCTCGTCCTCATCATCATCCATATCCCTCGTCCAAATCCTCGTCAACCTCCTCACCATGCGGATGGTTCTCCTCCTCCACCTACTGCTCCTCCTGCTCCTGGTCCTCGTCGTCCTCCTCCGCATGCTCCTCCTCCTCCTCCTCCTCCACATCCTCTTTCACGTCCTCCTCCTCCGCATGCTCCTCCTCCTCCTCCTCCACCTCCTCTTTCATGTCGTCATCATCATCATCATCATCATCATCATCAGCATCATCATCATCAGCAGCAGCCCAATCAGCATCATCAGCATTATCAGCATCATCATCATCATCAGCATCAGCATCAGCACCATCATCCTCATCATCAGCAGCATCATGACCATCAGCATGTTCATCATCACCATCATCATAATCATCATCATCAGCAGCCGCATAGCCATCAGCATCGTCATCAGCGTCATCCGCATCAGATCTATCAGCATCGTCATCGTCATCGTCGTCGTCATCATCAGAATCGTCACAATCGTCAGCATCATCAGAAACAGCATCAGCATCTTCACTCAAATCATCATCATTGTCCTACCATCAGCATCATTAATCAGCAGCATCATCATCAGCATCATCGTCATCATACTCATGATCATCACCATCATCGTCATCATCGGCATCCTCATCAGCATCACCATCATCATCATCATCAACATCATCGTCGTCGGCAGCATCATCAACACCATCAGCATCATCACCATCACCAGCATCGTCAGCATCATCACCACCATCAGCATCCCAAATATCAGCATCATCATCATTCTCATCAGCATCACAATCATCGCCATCGGAGTCACCATCATCAGCAGCAGGATCAATACCATCATCGTCGACGGCATCAGCTCACACCTCCTCCTCCTAATTATTCATCCTCCTCCTCAGCAGTACCTGCCTCGATCCTCCTTATCCGAGACCTCATCCTCCTCACCTGCATCACCAAAAAACCACCACCACCATCATCATCACCATCATCATCAGACGCATCATCACCATCAACAACCATTTCGTCGTCAACATCATCAGCATCCGCATCAGCATCACCATCATCAGTATCATCAATATCACCATCGCACCATGACCCGTGCATCTTGATCGTTCTCCACCTCCGCATCCTCCTCCTACGCCCCCTCCTTCTCCGCATCACCACCATCATCAGCAGCCTCAGAAGCATCATCACCATCAACAACAACAGCATCAGCACCAGCATCAGCGTCATCAAGATGATCATCAGCATCCTCATCAACATCAGCATCATCATCAGAATCATGAGCTTCAGCATCAGCATCGGCATCATCATGAGTATCAGCATCGCCATTACCAGCATTATCATCAGCATCATCAGCATCGTCATCACCATCATCAGCATCATCAGCATCATCATCAGCAGCAGCCGCGCATCATCATCATCATCATCATCATCATCATCATCATCATCATCATCATCATCATCATCATCATCATCATCGTCATCATCATCATCATCATCATCAACAACACCGTCGTCGTTATCAACATCATCATCGTCATCATCATCGTCATTGCCACAATCATCACCATCAGCGCACCAATAGCCCCCGCATATTGGTATCCCTCCCCCTCAGCCTGCTCCTCCTCCTCCGCCGCTTCCTCCTCATCCTCACTATCAGCATCATCAGCATCATCAGCATCATCAGCATCATCAGCATCATCAGCATCATCATCATCATCATCATCATAATCATCATCATCATCAACATCACCATCATCATTATCAGCATCATCAGCATCATCATTATCATCTTCATCACCATCACCGTCGTCATCATCATTATCATTATCATCATTTTAATCATCAGTATCATCAGCATCGTGAGCATCATCATCACGATACATCATCATCATCAGAATCATCATCATCATCACCATCATCATTATCATCTGCATCATCGTGAGCATCATCATCATAATCATCACCATCATCATCATCGCCCTGATCCCCATCCTCATCCTCATCATCATCCTCAGTGCTATTTTCATCCTCATGCGTATCCCCTTGCTTCTCCTCATCACCACCATCGTCAGCATCCGGCGCCACCACCATCATCATGAGCATCATAATCATCAGCATCAGCATCATCATCGTCATCAGTAGCATCATCATAATTATCGTCAGCATCATCACCAGCAGCATCAGCATCATCATCTGCATCAGAATCGTCATCAGCATCATCAGCATCATCAGCATCAGCATCATCGTGATCATCAGCATCATCCGCATCATCATTAGCATCATCATCAGCATCATCAGCATCATCATCATCAGCATCATCGTCGTCGTCGACGTCGTCATCCCCCTCACCCTCCCCCATCATCCCTTCCACATCCCCCTACATTTCCGCCCCCTCGCCGCTGCCCCCCTCGTCCCCCTACATCGCCCGCCGATGACATCCACCTCCCCCTCAATCAGTCGATCTCCATTCTCCTCCACCTCCCACTCCTCCCCCTCTGGCTCTTCCTCCTCCCTCCCCTGCTCCCCCTCTAGAAAAAGAAGAAGAGCAAGAAGAAGCAAAACAAGAAAAATCAACACCGGCAGAGACTTCTGGAAGTCCCAGCGGACTTCTTGGACAGGCGCTGGATCCCCCTCCCTGGTGCGCGGAGCGCCTAAGGGGTGGCGCCGGAGGCGCCTCCAGAGGAGGTCCAACGACGGTCCGAGACATCCGCGCGGACCTCCGAAAGGTTGTTATGCAAATGTGTTTGCTTCGACCCTCTCCCCCCGAACCTTCCCCTCTTCGGGAAGGGCAGAGGGGCGGGCCTGCTCCGAAGGCTCAGCAGAGTGGTTCCGGCCCTCCGAGAGGCTTTCTCTGAGCCTGCTCCGAAGCCAGAGGGCGCCCTCAGGAAGGGCCTGAGGGCGCCCTCGGGAGGGGCTCCGAAGCCAGAGGGCTCCTCAGGAAGAGCCAGAGGGCTCCTCAGGAAGAGCCAGAGGGCTCCTCAGGAAGGGCTCCTCAGGAAGAGCCAGAGGGCTCCTCAGGAAGGGCTCTGAAGCCAGAGGGCTCCTCAGGAGGGCGCCAGACTTCAGAGAAATCCCGCCGCCTTCTGAGAAGGCCTGCCCCCTCCTGCGGGGACAGCAATCGACAGCAACCATGTCGAGGACACACCCTGGTGCATGTCTTGCGCATGCCAACAAGCGTCGGAACACCGAAGCAGCTTCGTACTAGTTGCGATCGATCTGGCGTCCCAGAACGCCAAAAAATCGACCACAACTACAACCAAAGTGCTCACGTAGAGGTCGGTGGGTTCTCCCCCCGAGGGGCCCTCCCGAAATTCCACTGAGTTGTGGGTGTGGTTCTTTGCTGTGCCCAGACCTGGAGGAGGAGGAGGAGGAGGAGGAGGAGGAGGAGAGACTTGGAAGGAGGGAGGAGGGAGGAGAGGATGGAGCACTTCCCCCCTCGGCGCGCCTCCTCCTCCTCCTCCTCCCTCCTCCTCCTCCTCCTCCTCCTCCTCCTCCTCCTCCTCCTCCTCCTCCTCCTCCTCCTCTCCTCCGCCTCCTCCTCCTCCTCCTCCTCTCCTCCTCCTCCTCCTCCTCCTCCTGCTCCTCCTCCTCCTCCTCCTCCTCCTCCTCCTCCTCCTCCTCCTCCTCCTCCTCCTCCTCCTCCTCCCCCTCCTCGCGCCTCCTCCTCCTCCTCCTCCTCCTCCTCCTCCTCCTCCTCCTCCTCCTCCTCCTCCTCCTCCTCCTCCTCCTCCTCCTCCTCCTCCTCCTCCTCCTCCTCCTCCTCCTCCTTCTCCTCATTTTCCTCCTCCTCCTCCGCCACCGCCGCCGCCGCCCTCGGGCCGACGCCCCCTAGGCCTGGCGCATGTCGAGACCGCGCGACGGGCCGCCTGTGCCACGCGCGCGGAGCGCGGGCGAGAGCGAGGGAGGGCCCCCGCCCTGGAGGACTCCCCAACGAGGCCCCCCGACCTGGAGGACTCCGCCTGAGCAGGCCCTGTGCGGAGCTCTGCGGAGCGAGGGCCCTCCACCTGGGCGGAGCGAGGGCCCTCGGCCTGGGGGCCCCCCCAAGCGGGGTCCGAGCGGAGGGGGGCGGAGGATCGCGCCGCGGCGGCGGTGCATCGGCGGCGCACCGCCGAAGTCGGGATGGAGCATCGAGCACCGAGTGGAGCCGCCTTGCCGATGCATCCGCGAGGCGGCGCGAAGCTCCGAACCCGTCTGCTGCGGACCCATCTGGGGTGGCTGAATCAACCCTCCTCGATCCTGGATCCTCATCTTGGATCCCAGAAACCTCGCCCCTTCTCGATCTCGGAAGAGGGCCAGTCGACACACGAGGCAACGGGTCAGGCCCACCACACACGCTGAGCTTGAACACAGAGGACAGCACGAAAGGGGCGGAGGCGACGGAGAAGACGACAAAGGTCACATTGACGATGCACACTGCAAGCCCCAAATACACACTGAGAGAAACGCCAGCGTAGCCACCAGAGACCCAATGCAGACCTGGCTCACGAGCAGGCGGAGGAGGACGACCACGGCGAGGAAGAGAACGAGGACGAGGGCGCATCCCCGGCACCCGCTCTGAATGTCAGGATTAGGGGGCCACATGCGAACCCTACCCCTGCCCCCCACGATTTCTGAGGGGGAGGGTGGGGTTCACTTCGCCTGGGAGCTCCCGAGCGAAGTGAACCCCACCCCCCCCTCAGAAATCGTGGGGGGTAGGGGTAGGGTTCGCATGTGGCCCCCGAAGGATGCTTCTCTTGGCAGCCTCCAGGGCCCGCACCCCCGGCACCCGCTCTGAATGTCTTAGGATGTCTCTCTTGGCAGCCTCGGGGCCCGAGGCGGGCCTCCCGGGGGCCGCAAAGCCCGGGAGAGAGTGGCCCTGGCAGCTCCTGCCTGCAGCGCCCGAGGCCCGTCCCAAACCCCCCGCCCCCGCCCCGCCCATAGAGAGGCCGACCCGGCCGTGGCCACGAGGGGTGCCCCGGGATTGGAGGCCTGGACATTGGCACCAACACCAGCACAGGGGATTGCCTCCACATGGGGAAGGTGATCCTAGATTTCGGAGTTGGTGGTCATATTTCGGTCGCCTTGGAAGCCAGAATATTACCACCATCACCGATATCGGGATCGTCTTCCCTCGGGGGAGGCACACCGCCGATCTTGGTGTTGGTGTCAACCTCTGAGCCTGCGACCGGAGGCCCAAGTGCCCACGCGTCCGGGGTCGAAGTTGGTCTGTCAGCACGCGGCCCGCCAGAGCTCTCTCCCCTCCCCGGGGACCTGCTTCTGCACCCGGAGCCGCGCCCTGACGGCTCGGAGGCAGGAGACGGCTCGGAGGCCCAAAAATATGGAAGCAATATGCCCGCGTGTTGCAGCGACTGTGGGTGCCTGGGAAAATGCAGTAGGCCAGAACAAGTAATTCATTAAGCGCACTCCCGCTCTCCTTCCCTGCCTTCTCAATTGCAGGGTGCGGATGTAGAGATGAAGCGACCGAGGCGCCGAACTCGTGATGCCCAACACCAACTCTGAAATCAAGGTAGAGGAGAGGGACTTCACAACGCATGCTCTGTGCGAGTGTTGCTTGATTTTCACGACCAGCTTGGAAGAAAGTGAGAGGGGGCGGGGCTTCTCGGAAGGCTCGGAAGTTCCCTGGCCTTCGGAAAAAGTTGTTTAAGCCTTCTCCGGAGACACAGAAAACTTGTCCGCTGGAGGGCTTCTGGAAAACCCTGCCGCCTTCCGAGAAGGCCTTCTCCTTCTCATCTCCACCCCTCGCTCGCCGCCGACAATTGCTTCCGACGCGTTTCGCACAGCTATCAACAAGGGGGCAGTTGTGTTCGCGCCTCGCGCTGCGCGAGGCGCGACGCGCGAACGCTTCCTTGCTCTCGCGCCCCCGCCCCAGCCCAGGGAAGGTCCAGAGGCCGAGGAAAAGGAAGAGGAGGCACGGGGAGGGGAGCAGGCCGCGAACCACGAGGCGCGACGCGCGAGCGACTGCTTGCTCCCGCGCCCCCCCCCCCCGCCCCCCGAGGGAAGGTGCAGAGGACGAGGAGAGGGAGGAGGGGGAGGCACGGGGCGGGGAGCAGGCCGCGATGACCACGAGGCGCAAAGCACTTCGCGCCCTCGTGGCGGGTGGGGCCCTGCGTGGCGTCCTCCCTTGAAGTCGGGCACGTCCCCCCACAGCACGGAGATCTTAAAAGGAATGACCCAAAAAAGTCTGGGGACGACTCGTTTTGATCATGTGTCCACTGCCTCTGAATCTGCTTTGCTCTGTTCCATGTCTCTTCCACAATCCGCCTGCAGGAGGACATGTCCGACCCGATCCTCCCTGCGCGGTCCAGGACAATACCTCAGCCGATGATCTGGTATCACCCCCGTGCCCAGAGAAACGGTAGTTAAAGCATGCCGCCGGCAAAGACTGACAGTCGGGCGTCGGACTGCGCACAACGGGAACGACAGCGGCGGCCGCCGGGCGGGGGAGCCGCCGAGTCCGTGGAGCTGCTGTACTGTGGGGTGGCCTCCCACTGGCGCCCCCCGGGCCCCCGGGGAGGGTCCGTCTTCTGCGTGCTCCTCCTGCTCGTCCTCCTCCTCCTCCTCC